AACCTAACACTTTCTAGAAGCTACTAGGTATGAATCAGGAGCTCATTTTTAAGGAGAAAACTAAACTCCTTAAATATTACGGTCCCAAATTAAATTTCTTGTATTCTCATTTATATTTCCTTACGTCTTATTTCTTGAAATTAGAGCAAACACTTCACAATTCATCCTGAGAAATCAGTATAAAAAATATAGATGTCAAAATAACTCCTCATTTAATATATCTCTTAGTCCCAAATTATGTTCTTCGAAATAAAATGTTTAAGTTAATATATATATATATATATATATATATATATATATATATATATATATATATATATATATACGGCGATTTAGGAGAGCATCCTTATAATCTTATGTTTTATAATCGGTTACTAAAAAAATTTAAATTATGTATTATTCCACTCTTTTAATAAGTTTGACATTTAAAGGAACCCCAAAAGGAATTAAACATAATTAAAGAAACAGTTGCAAAGAGTTAACCGAAGTGGTACGCAAATTGCGTTATTATTTAGAGGATAAATTTCAAGGGAAAAACTATCTTTATGTCACATAATATAAGTTTTATCTTCTGCACGCTCTTCGATAACTGTGTCACTTTTTTTCTTTTCTTTTTATCAGTTGGTGGAGCCCACTAATTTATCTCTATGACATGAGAAGATAAATATCTCCTTCATGAGATTAATAAAACCCAAATTTCAAACTCTAAAAATGTTATTTAGAGTTTTTAACACCACTCCATACTCAAAAATATTTGTATCGTGCCCAACTCTATAATACATAATTTAAGTTTTAGTAACCGATTACTATATTTAATTCATTCTAAAACATTTTATTGTTGTAGGTAGCATACCATCTCTATTTTGTGTTGCACATAAATAAGAGGATGCACTAGGTATAACTCACAAAATTGTGAAGAAAATAACCATGGCTTCGTCGTTGTTGAAAAAAATCATCACGGTGAAATGTTCTGACAAGAAGATCTGCGAGCTGGAGGCCGCCTTGGTGAATGCATCTCCAATTATGAAGCGCTTGATAGAAGAAAAGAGCAATGAGAGTGAGAATATGATCACTTTGGCAAAACATCTCGAGCGGAATCTTGTCTAAGATCATTGAGTATGTGAAGAAGCATGCTGATGCTGATGCTGATGCTGGCATGGCCTCCAAGAGCCATAAGAAAAGTCTCAAGCCTGCAGAGTTCATGAAGGTTGACATGAACACACTCTACAACCTTCTCATGGTTAGTTTCATCTAATGCATGCATGCTCTTTTCTCGTGTATCTTCCATATATATATCAATTGTGATGCAAAAGTACGCAATTCCACAACTGTAGCAACTTGTGGTGGACATTGACCATACTGCCATGTTTTTTCATATACTATACTTGAATGTCACGGATTCTGAATTTTTTTCAAACTGTCACGGCACGAAAGTCCCTAAATTAAGTAGTAACTATGGACTGGACCTGTGACACATTCCTAGTGGCTGGAAAAGCCTTGGAGGCCTGGTTGGATCAAAATGTAGCGACTTTAGTGTGAATGTGACAGATGTCACTCATTTGACCATAGTCGCTGAGTTAGTAGCGACTAAGGCCATCCACAAAATAACTCCACCAAAGTCGCTTCCTTCTCCAACTACTGTGGCCTACTAAAGCTGCCACTCATATTTTAGTCGCTTAGCTAGTTCTTATGGAACCAATGTCATGTTGTCATACATACTTTTTCCGTAGTATTGACTTTGGGTCCCTCTTTTCTCATATTGCAGGAATTCCTGAAACCGTTTTTAACTATACACTCTTGCGAGTAGATAGTTATAATATTAAAGTTATTTTTTTTAACTATGTACTCTCGAGAGCACTTGCATTTGATTAATTTCTTGTGTTTCAAACTTCCCTCTTGAGGTCGTTTAAACTCAATTTGCTAACGGAGCAAGAGTTATTCCTTAGTTTGTTTATCTGTCTGGGATAAGATGTTGGTGGCTTGTATGGTAATAAGAATATCATTCCCGAATACAAATTTTAAAGGCCGTACGAAAAGGTGTACCAAATTAAATCTCCATGCCGTGGGGAGGTATAAATTTCCTTATATATTGTTGCACCTAAAATTTACTTAAATGTGTTCGCCTGCTTGCCGCATCGATTTCTGTTTTCTAGGAATAATTTTATTTTTAATAACAATATTTTAATTTTACAGTTTTATTTTAATTATGTCTTATTTTAAGCATATTTTTTTGCTGATTAATTTGTAATCAGCTAGTTCTTTCTTTTAGGAGTATTTAATGTAGATTGGATAGTGATCCGGATATAACATAAGCCTAACCAGGGCCCAATAAACACATGAAAGCCCAAACCCATATAACCCAGAATAAAGGCATAAAGGGCAGGCACAGACGCGATAACCCTGTCGCGGTACACCAGCGCGATGACCCTGTCGCGGCACACTAGCGCGATGACCCTATCGCGTCCTACACGGCGCAATACCTCCTCACGACATGCAAGATGTACTTGTTCCCCACGCAGCAGGATACCTTCTACAAACAGTAAACTTAAGGGCCAAGGCAACACCACCGCGCCCTCACACCAGTAAACTACGGACAACTCCAGCTCGCTATGACTCTACTACTAGACACCATGGCGGCAAGCTCCTCAACATTTAAACACTGACAGCCACACTACGTTGGTACCAAGGAACCTTTGCCTTCACCATGAAGAAAGGCATTCTACAAGCATACATCTCGACTACTATATAAACATATGTTGTACCACCAAGGTACGATCATCCTTTACTTTCACAATATAAACACCTGTCTCTGATACTGACTTAAGCATCAGAGTGTCTTTGCAGGTACCCCCCATCTGGAGCAACGTGAAGGACGAAGAACAAAGAGCTCAAGCTCATCCCCCAACAGCAATACCGGGCCCAGGCCAGTAACCTCCCAAGGAGTCTCAACCGTGTGTGATTTGGGCTTAATACGCATTGGGCCATCCCAACCGTATCTGGTCTGATCAGATAGTAATAAACTTCCGCCTTGACTGGAAAGAGCTTCAACGATGAATCGAGGAACTAGAACAACAATTTCGAGATTGCACTTCTGTTAAACCAAAGATGAGTTGGAATCTAGAGATGCATTTAATGACAATGAGAGAGACGTCAATCTCTTTGCAGTTTTGAAATAGGGGCAAAATCTCACTTGATGATGTGTTATATATGGCTAAGGAAGATGAACAAATAATTTCTCAATATTTGAGAGGGTTGCTAATTGAAATTTCCAATGTTATTCAGTTGCATCAATATTGTAGCTATAATTGTGTGTAGATTGGCTTTAAAGGTGGATGGGCAATATAAAAGGAAAGGTAGCAATCTCAAAATTCAGAGTCGACTTCCTAAACCGGTGCCAACAGCTAATCCAACACCAGCAATAGCCAAGGAAGCGATTTCCAAACATGATTTCAAGGAAGGGAGGAGGAGTAACAAATTTACTAGAGGAGGAGCTATTGCCAAGATGTGCTACAAGTATCGGGGGATTGGGCATTTCGCTACAGACTATCCAAATCACCAGATTGGGATGCTTAGTAAAGCTCCGGTCTATAATGAGGTCTATATCTATTATGAATCCAATGAAGAGCGTAACCATGAATATCCACTTGTTGAGCCTCCATTCTATAGTGAGGTCCCTATCTATGATGAATCCAATAAAAACAAGATGATGAAAATCCAAATGTTGATGCTCCAGTGTATGGCAAGTTCCATGTCTATTATTATGATGGGGATTAGGAAGATGAGACTCCAGATGCAGAAGAAATCCTTAGTAGTGATTCCAGTAAATGTTAATAGAACTTTAAATGTTGTAGCAGCAGAAGATGAAATATGGTTTAGACATAACAATTTTTACACTAAGTGTACTAGTGAAGAAAAACTCTAGAACATGATAATAGATTAAGGGAGCTACAAGAATGAGGTAATTACTTCCATTGAAGGAAACTTTAATATGAAGATAAAAGATATTGGATTGTATCATTCACATTATACTTTCACTGAAAATGATGAAAGTTTTGATGAAAATTCAGTTACTAGAAAGTCTAATCAAATATGAAGTTCTATTCAAATATGCCATAGGGAATGACCATTCATTTAGGAAGACTTTAGTTTGCTAGAAAAATTGTGAACTTGCGCACAACAAAAATAGCAACCTCGTGCCATGGAGATAACAATTTTGCTTTTGGTGGAAGTTTAATTAGAGATAATTTACTACAATTACATAACCAAACTACAAGCAATAGTCATTTTGAGATAGTCTACGGGCATAATCCAATTACGTTTTTAGAATTCACACCATTTTTCAGCTCAAATGTAAATGAACATACTAAGCATATCAAAGAGTTGCATTCACAAATTCTACCCTTAATTAAGGAATTTGCTGATACTGTACCGGAAAAATTGCCACCTAGGTACCACCTGAAGATCTTAATGAAGATGAAGCAACTTTGAGGCCAAATATTTTCCTAATAGGGGAGAATGATGCACCTAAAATTAACTTAGAAGTGTCCATGCATACTTGCATGCATCGTTTTGAACTTTTAGGATTATTTTTATTTTTAGTAACAACATCATAATTTTACAATTTTATTTTAATTATTTTCTTATTTTAGATGTATTTTGTTGCTTATTGATTCGTAATAAGCTATTTCTTTATTTTAGGAGTATTTAACGCTGACTGAATTGTGATCAACTATTTTCAAATATTTTTTTTAGGGCGTTTTAAGATTAATTAACACCATCTAAAAAGGTGTCTGGAATTCCAATTGTGGGTTGTTGAATTTTGAATATTGTTATTAATTTCTCCAATAACAAGGCTTCTTTTCATCTATCCCAAATTTGTTTGCTCAATCTCTTTTTCTATGCGTTTCGGCATTAATATCCATCAGTTAAGTCCATATCTATATAATGATTGGAAAGAGTGACACTGAAGAACATAAGTACGAAGCAATCATTTGGAAATTGAAGTTCAAAATGACTCCACAACGTTCCATATGTGCATTGCAAAATATTAATCTATAGTAATACATGATCCACAAGCACTCAAAAAATGCAATCCACCCTTTAAACTTATCAGTATGAGAGCAATATGACAACAATAACACATCACTACATAAGCAGGTACCTCAGTCAGGCAATGCAGTTCCTCGCTCGAGATTATTTTTAATCTCCAGTGTGTATTTACCAAAGGCTCGCTCAATCTTCTTGTTGAAATGCTCATTACGGTCATTGATCGAGTCAATATCTTTCTCTTCATGAAATCGTCTTCTCCTGCTAAATGACTTGCGCTTCTCATCCCTATCCTTTAGCTCCTGTACCATCCTATCAATCTTATCCTCTGAGATTTTTGGTGCCTACAATGAAAGGAAAGACATCTCGTCACAAAACACCCAATGCAGTGCAGATGTTGAAAAAGAAGTTCTAGTAGTATACCTTTCCATACTGGAGACTTGAAGCTTCACGGTAGAACTCTGGATCAGCTTCTTTCATTCTGTTGTATTCTTCTACATCGATATCTACTTTCTTGGTCCGCTTTTTGTATGCATTATATAACGTCTTCTGATTAAAAACTGATAAAAAAAAATTACAGTAGCTTCAGTCCCATCAGACCTACTCTCAACATAAAAGTTCTTTCGGATAATTTTGCAGTAAATTACACACTTAGCAATAGGAAGGCACTCATTCCTCATATGATAAAAACTCTCTTAGTTTCAAAGCACAAGAAAGCGAATCTCCAAAATCATATCTTGGAGCAGGATAAGTGAAAAAAGCAATCTACACAAAAATATTTTAATGTTTTTCTGAATATAAACACTTCTTTATTGATATTTTACCAACAGAACATTTCTAAAATATCTATGTTTAATTCCCCAGAAGAGATAACATTCATGCAAACACCTATAGTTAATCTACAACGGAAAAGACATAAAACTCTCCAAAAAACAAATTAACTAAGATACAAGTTTTAAAACTCTCTGGGGGTCTGGAAATCTTGATAACTTTGGGAACTGCGTTGAAGCTTACACAGTTACACTGAAATAAAAGAGTAAGTTAATATTTTGCATCTGTATGTATACATGCATGCAAGAACACACATAACCATGGCAACCAGAAAGATAACATACAGGTTATGCAAGAACGTTTGTTGGATAAGTATAGAACGTACCATCCCAGCCGGATGGAGCAGGATCCTTCTCCCATTTCTTGTATTTCTCTTCTGCTGCATCTTGTGTGTCAAGCATATATGCCTTTGTCAGATCCAACCCATTTGCATCAAGAAGTTTACCAATCTTTTTCTTCCTATCCTCAAGCCACTTCTGTTTAGAAACACCCCTAGACTCTGTTGGAGCTTCCATCCTCTTTTTCTCAGCAGCTATTTCAATTTGATTACGTTTTTTTGCTTCTTGCTGCCAGAGAAACAAAACAAGGATCTTAAGTTTTCTTCAAATAAATTAAGTTGCACGCAAGAAATTTTTCAGCAGTTTACCATCTTGGCTCTCAACTCCATCCACTTTTTCTGTCTCCCAGAGAGGTTTGTGTAGTCCCCATCCATTTGCTCTGCAGCAGGCTGGTCAGGATCACTATCAGAATCTTCTTTAATATTGGGCCTTTCATCATGTATTTCCTCATCAGGATATGATTGATCTGGGATGGCTAGCTTACTGCTACTTCCACCACTAGCTTGGGCAGCTTCTGATAGATGTAAAAAATGGTATGTAAATATGGACGGATAAATTTAGTAGAGCATATAACCCCGAAAAAATATTATAGAAGAAGAATTCAATATAATTAAATACAAGTTATGCAATCTTATGACTTATCAACGAAGTTGAAAAATCGAAATGAACATTTTCGGTAGGATAGAGTTATCAACTTGCTTAGCATAGTGACCTTTTATGGAATGATAATGGACCATGAAAGGAACTTGGTTATAAACACAATCAAATCAATAGATAACTATCCAATTACTTGATAGAACCACAAAACTTGCATTATTCATCGGCAGCAATCAAGAGATGAGATTGTAATTGAAAAACTAACCTGATTCCTCTTGTTGCATCCTAATTTTGGCTTCAGCTATTACCCTAAAGCAGTAATCACTACATTCATGAAAAGGATTACTGGCATTTCGGCAATCGGGATGCACTTCTCGTTCCTCAGACATGTTTTGCAAAAATATTATCCCGCGAAGACTCACCTGTTGCGTTGCTGCATAACAAACAAAATTCTTGGTAATCGGAAAGAAAGCACAAAACCCTAATCCATCGAGCCTCTAATGCCCAATTTTACTTTGTTTATTTATTTATTTAAATTTCATTCGAAAATTGAAAGCAAATAACACATACAAAACTTGGCATAGAGGAAGAAAGATTACAGCTGAAATATTTAAATAAGTAAAATAGAATTTGGTTCTATTTTAATGTTCCCCTTTGGTTTCTGCGCAATGGAACATCGAGAGAGAAGGGAAGCAAAGCCACAACCGTGATTAGGTCATTAAAATTGGAAGAGAGAAGGAAGAGAAAGATACGAACCTGTAGACTGTAGTAGCAGCGATTTCTCAAAAACCAACAAGAAGCGAGAATTGGGAATTAGATTCTGACAAGAGTATTTCACCGATGGTGTTCCAATCTCGCAGAGACGAGTATCTAATTTGATTTTTTATTTTCTTTCATTATTCTTTTTTCTTTGGGGATAGGGTTTCCTCTATGCAGCGCTCAACCGTTGGATTATCGCTGCCTTTGAGAGATGTGCGAAGAGTTTGCTGAAAATAATAAGGAACAAGTTAAAAAAAAAAAAATTGTGGTATTTTTTTGAATCATTACAGTTTTTTGTTTAAGGTGTTTGTATTTGTCATTTAACATGACACAACAAACTTTCTTACACACACAATATTTTGTGGGACCCACACTTTTTAAAGAAAAAAGAAAATTACGGCACACAAAACAAATCTCTATATTACACAATCATTTTTCCTACAACATTATAAAACCCTTTTTTTAATTATCCTTTTCTAACACTATTAGAAAATTAACTGAATATAATTATTCTATCATTCTTAAAAGAAGAAAATGAAGTCATAAAGAAAAAAAAAAAGACCAAATGTTACGAAACTTATAACACTTAGAGCTCGTTAGGTGGACATGATAGAATAAGGGTATAATATTATATGGGGCTGATAAATCTATATCGTGTCCTGTGTTTGATGAGCACCTGATTAACAATATGATAAGATAATGTAGAAGGAGAAAGGAGAAAAAAAATACAATAAATACAAATATATTGGGTAGAGTGGGGATATATTGAGTATCTAATATTGATATCCTATACTGTTGAATCCTAACCCACCTCCCCAATAAGATAAGAAATCATGTACTGGCTAGGAAAAATGAGACAATAGGATAAGCTAATCATATCCTATTGACCCACCAAACAAGAGAAAAAAATAGTATATGATAAGTTATTATCTTATCTTCTTTATCAGGTGCTCCAAACAAGCCCTTAATAAAAGACTAAAATAAAAAAATAGCATAAAAAATCAGAACAGTGACCATTTTGCCACGCCTGGCCAAAAGAATTACCAGACTGCCATGCCAACAATAAATTTTCCCAGAATGCCACGTGGGATAATTCGCTACAATGTGTGCGATGCTTGCAAATAATTCGCTACACAGTGTAACGAATTATGCCACGTCAGAATGCACAGTCAGCAAGAATGCATGTGTCAAGCGGGGCGTAATTCGCTACACTTTGTAGCAAATTATGTTCGCGAATGATTTTTTGACACATGGAAAACTTTCGCAGGAACAGGAAAAAGCTGACGTGTCATAATTTCCTATCACTGGTAGCGAATTTGGTCTGCAATATGACCAAATCTCACGAAATTATTGGCCACGAAATTCGCTACTAGTGGTAACGAATTATGACACGTGGCAGTCTGGTAAAAAATACTATTCGCGTGACATTTGAGTAAAAAATTTGACAAAACATGACATTTTGGACACTGTTCCTAAAAAATCAAATGTATTATGTGTTTAAATAAAAAAATAAGATCAATAACAGTTACGAATTTCTAATAAATTGAAGACTAAAAAATATTTAATATATTTAGACTAAAATTAAAAAAAAAGTAGTCTAAATAAAAAAAATATTGAAGACAAAAAAATAGAAGGAAAAATTAAGATAAAAAATAAAATAAAAATGAAATAGAACACAAAAGAAATTACATTTATGAATTTCTAATATATTTGTTTTTTATTTTTTGTGTTTGATCTATTTATTCTTTTTATTTAAATATGTTTGATCTTTTTTATATCTGTATTTTATTCTCTCTTTTTAAAAAAAAATTATGAAATTTTTTAGTAGATAAGGTGGCATAAGTCTAAAAAAGAAGAAGAAAATAAGAATAAAATACACCAAAGAGTAAAAAATAAAAATAAAAAAAATATCAAACATATCTAAATAAAAAAGAAGGAAAAAAAAGGAAAAAAATAAAACTAAATATATTGGAAACTCATAAGTGATTTTTTTTATTTTTTATCTTAATTTTTTCTTCTAATTTTTTTGTCTTCTGTATATATTTTTTTATTTGGACTATTTTTTTTTGTCTTTTTTATCACTATTGTGATTTTCATATATTTGGTCTTATTTTATGTTTTATTTTTTTGTTCTTATTCTATTTTTTTATTTTGACACTTTTAATTTTTTTTAGCCATTCACTAAGTGTTTTAAGTATTCATAACATTTGATCTTTTTTATCACTTTACTTTCTTCTTCTAAGAAGGGTAGAATACGTATACCTAGATAATTTTTTAATAGTGTTAATAAGGGGTGTGGATGAAAAAAATCACATGGGGTTAAGTAAATAAATAAAAATTGGAATACAAGTGATTCAAAGCAATATCATATGAGGTTTTTTTATCTTTTCCCAAAAAAAAAAACCTTGATTTTATAATTTTTAGTATGATAATCTAATTCAGTAAGAATATAACATAAGTCTAGCCTTGATACTGACTTGAGCGTCGGAGTATCATTGCAGGTACCCCAGCCAGAGCCATTGCACCAAGGAAACTCAACATCAACAGCCCATGAAGCACTTTCCCATTCCGAAGTCTTCATCCTTTAACCGTGTGTGATTAGACTCAGTCTATATTGTTCAGCTCATATTGTACTCGATTGATCAGTTGGTAAGGGTTTTTAATAGTATTTATTAACTAAGAGTAGATATTTATTTATATTTAAATATGAATATAATAAATTAATATAATATTTATTTTAATTGAATAGACAAGCTATAAAATATTAATAGTACAAATAATACCGACATACCAGTTAAAGTAAAGGGTAACAAAATTTTTAATCTACCAAAAAAAAAAAATGAATTTGTAATCCTACGTAAGCTACTAATTTGATCTACTATATATCACAAAAGAAGTGAGTAATAACTAAAAAGCAAAATAAATACTTGGATTCAAGAGGCAAATTTTTACGGTGAAAAAATTTATTTACAAAAAACTAAAAATTTAAGTTATTCATCAGAAAATTAATTTGTTCAAAAAAATTTGTGATATTAAATTATGTTTTAAATTAGGGAAAACTTCAAAAAAAAAAAAAAAACCCTTGACAATTTTTTTTGAATCATTTACTTCTTTACTTAAAACTTTTTTTTATAACTTATTACATGATAAAGTTTTTTTATCACTTACCCCTAAGTTACGGTGGTAAGTGATAAAAAAATTAAGTTAGGAGAATAAATGATTCAAAATTTTGAGAAAGAGATAGATAAATAATTATGAGAAAAGTTACACGAATTTTTTTTGAATTTTTCCCAATTTATGATATTTTTATGGGGTTTGTTTTTCTTATGTTCCATAAGAAAACAAACCCTTGATACACACATCGTAAAAAGATGTGCCATTTTTTTTTTTAAATAGAAGGATCTCACTTAATGTATCTATAACATGATAGTATATATGATTTTCCTACAATATAAGATTTATTTTTCTCTATTTTTATATAGAAAAAAGTGTTTCTATTATTTCATGAGATAAAATTATGTCACGCAATTTTAAAACAACATCATATTTGGTTAAAAAAATACAAAATATTTTTGAATTTTTTTTTCTTTTATAATACGAATTTTTTTAAAACGTTCTGTATTTTTTTTTTCAAATCTTGAAATAACGTCACTTTAAGATCACAACAGAAAATTTTATCTCTTGTGACACAAATTCCTTTTATAAATCATATTATTATTTTATTTCTTAAAATTAGGGTTTATGGTGAAATGAATTATGAGAAACGAAATTGTCACTCTGTCGGGAATATTTTTTATTTATTTATCCATAATTCCCGCATCACTGACGTTAATTTTCAACACCTTACCATTAGCTTTGGAATTGTACAATATAAAACTACCCATAGATGAAGTTGAGAGTCAAGAGGGAAAAAAAAAAGACTCCTAAGAGAATAGTTGTTAAAATGAATTGACATATAATATATATTAACCTCTAAAGAGAAGAAAATATAATTTAAACATACCTCAATATAGAATAGTATAATTTGACTAGGAGTCTAGGACATTAATTTCGTCTTTAAAAACAATAACTTTTAAATTATTTTAATGTCACAAAATTATCATTCAAGAACCATATTTATGTAATTGGACGAAATTAATATTTCAAAAATTTTCTAACAAAACGAAAATTTACTTAAAATAATAATAATAAAACGAGAAAACTATGGACTAGCAGTATAGCAACAAAGATGTATAAAATTTACAGGCAAATTAATATAATCCGGGTGATGAAACAAGTGTCATGTACGCAGCAGATAAACGAAATTCTATTGGTAAACGAAATGCCATCCCCCCATTGTTGTTGGGATAATCAGATATAAATAAAAAATAAATAAAAAACACAGCTGTGAGGCTGCAGTGTGTGTAGGGTGTAATATGAAATTCAAACCATTACCGAGCTAGAAAATACAGCTCCCATGCGTTTATTCAGTAGCATATTCTACTTGTTTTTACCACCACAATACTACTAAAGGTGCACTTCAAAGACAAATTAGCTAAGCAGTAACATTACAATAGTTCATCTAGCAAGGACTTGCTATCCAAATTATCAACCTTGGACTTGATGGAAAACATGTTCTTGTCCAAATCAGAAGACTTCAGCTCAAGCTCGTTCAATTGCTCTCTGATATCTTCAATTCTTGTTTTTATATCAGCTAACTCTTGTTCTTTCTGAGCCAAAGTTTCAACTTCTGATTCTAGCTCTTTCCTCAATGATTCAACTTTACGATCAGAGTCAGCCTTTGCCATCTCCACGGACCGTTGCTGATTGATGAGTTCAATGTTTTCAGCAATTTCATCAACTATGCTACGCAACCAGGCAATACGAAGTTGAGCAGATTCAACATCCTTAAGAATAGCCAATAATTCTTTGACTTTGGACTTTGTTAGTTGCATTATTGAGGTAGATTGTAACTCTTGGACCACAAAGCACACACACTCAATATAATATGACCGCATGACAACTGATTCCAAATGGCAGCTTTCTCCTATATCCCCATATTTGTCAAAGATGGACCGAAGGATGGGAGCAAAGCTTTCTTTCACATGGTATTTTCCAACAGGAATACGGCATTCAGAAACCACAGACTCGCTCTCCTCTCCATCACTATCTTCATTGTCATGACCAACTCCAGATAAACAAAAATGCATGGACCCACCAGCTGATTTAATAAGACCTTCTCTTATGTCATCAACAGAGGTGATTGGAACAACTTTCGGTGAAGCATTTCTGTCCACTTCTTGCTTTGTTCGTATTGGGTCGGTAAGATTCTCAGCACCGCCCTTTGGTTGGACTTTGTGATTGACAGTCTGTTCAACAAACAAGGGCACAAGACAAATCAAGTATATGCTTATTGATTAACATGGATTTGCTTGTATTTTGCCCAAATTTTTTAAAAAGAATTGTTTGAAGAGAATGTGAGAAAGGAGAGGCCACTACCGTGCCAGCTGGGATATGTAATTCTCCGGAAACTGGTATTAGCTCGTTGCTTTTTGGCTCCACTTTCTTCTTTTCAGAGTAATTTGGTATTGGTGATGAAGCATCAGAGAGATAAATAGCCCCAATTTTTGAGGCTGGAACACTGTCAAGAACAGGGTGTTCTGGTTTAGAACCTAGCTTCTTTTTCCTGCCATAGTTTAAGGAAATGGAACCTGAAATTTGAGAGGATTGTAGTCAGAAACATATTCATTGTGTGTGAAATTTCTCTTGGAATATCAATAATGATCTGTTTATCACCTAAAAATAACATTTTTTAACTAGTCAAACAAATTGTCAACAAGCCTTGCTAGCAGTTCATTTGTACACAAGCTGTTGAAAAGTGAAAAGTGAATCATATTAAATGAGACAACAGTTTGTTTTCTATCTCCAAACCAATCTAATTCTAGATAAATCCCATACTACTTTCATTTGAATCAAAAGGCTGGTTAGCATGACATGACATATTTGAATCGGAAGAAGACCGTAGTGGAACCAGAAACATTTCTCAGGTTCCCCTTTGAGATGAACCTCATTCTTCAAACCCACTAGTCTTTTTTATGGGATGATAGAGGTTTTTTTCTTTCTTTTTTTTTTTAAAAAAAAATTAGATTTGATCAGATATATGAAGATAAAACTTGTTTCAAAATTATTTGTGGGCGAAGAAATTCACAAAAAGAAGACACACTGTATAAACCGGTTAAATAGATAAAAAAGAGAAAATTGTCAATAAATTACATATTCCTGATATCCTAAAATAGCACATAAAAAATGGGGAGAAACCTGAATCAACTCCTGACATTCTTTTGTGGCAATTTTCATCACAGACATGATAAGGATTAGATGCTTTAGGACAACCTGAGTGCGTGCGTTTTTCTTCATTCATCTTTTTGCCAAGATCACCTTCTGTAACACTTCTGCGATAATCTTTGGGGGAAAAAAAAAGAAAAAGCGAAAAAAGACAGATCTTAAAACTGTTCAGAGATTGGCAGCAAGGCACTCCCAAGTCCCAAATAAATTGGTTAAAATTTGAAGTATCAGACAATTGTTATTTGATACCAGTTACGAAATATTCATAAATCATCAGCAACTTCCAAGTAAAGCTTTAAGTATATAAACGAGTCAAAAACAGTCAGAGCATGCCAAAATCACAAATATCAACACAGGGCGGAAGGAAAACAGACACAAACATAAAAGATGCCATAAACCAAATCCTGTTGAATTAATATCTAATTGATACTCATTCGTAATTAAAATTCATGAGGAAAAAAAAAAAAGTTTTCAGGATAGACCAACAACAATCCAGAAATGGTGTTTTGCTTCACACAACAAAAGTATATAAACAGAGCAAACATGAAGTACAACTAACTAACCGGAACTCTTTTTATTTTTAGATGGCTTGATCTCCTTGATCTTTTGCAGGCAAGCTTCCGCGCATTCATGGTAGGGATTAGAAGCATATACACAGTTTGGCATAACTTTTCCAACATGAGCCATCTCTTTCCTGGTGTTACCTGCCTCACCTTTGGTACGATCCGACCAAAGTGTAACTGTTGCATCAGGTAAACAAAGAACACAAATTAAACAACAACACACATATATGTTATGATAATTCTTACCAAAATTAAAAAAAGGAAAACATAATTTCTTATGCAAATCTGTGCAAAACATTAAAAAAAGAAAAAATTAAAGGAAAAAAACATATGAGAAAAATATTCAACTTTTATCCCCTGTTGTATCCATACCTATCCAATCAAGCCCACCCCCAACAAGAGAAAGGAGAAGAGAGAGAGAGAAACAGACAGGATTTTACTTTATGAGCAAAAGGAACAAAAAGAGCAATAAGCTCCATCCAGTTATATGTTAAGAGTATTCATTAAAAAACAAATTTTTTTTTTTTTTTAATGCATATTTGTTATCAAAACATACTTCAGAAAATTGAACAGACAAATCAAATAGCATCCTCAACTCATGAAGTTGATATAATGAACGTCTAAAAGACGCCCAAGAGAGAGCAAAAGAAAGAGCAGTAAACAAACTAAAACGAAACACATACAGCAGAAAGAGACACCCATGAAACGGAAATTCCGAAAGAAGCAACACCAGAAGATGAAAAATCAAAATAGAAATAATAAAATGGATACAAAAAGTAACAACCTAGAAAGACAGAGACGACGATGCTGATGCAGAATTGAAGAAGTAGGTGGTGCAACCCAAATTCCAAATCAAATGTCAGTTTCTGGTTTGTTGAGATATTATTATTTTATTTATTTTCCCCGCAGCAACCTATAGAAGAACGAAAAAAAGAGATGAAAGAAGCGTTAGTTTTTTGACTATGAGAATGTGACATTAGAATTTGAGAACTGTTTGGAAACTCATTGACCGACGGAACTTGAAAAATAATATTAAAAAAGAATGAGGTCCCAAACAATGAAATGAATGGCAGGCAGCTTTTGAATAATGGGAAGACTTTGAAACATCTAGAAAGTCACTTGCCGCTGTGGCACGTGTGCGAAGCTAACAACCCCGTTTCCAAGTAATTGACAGATTCATTTGGTTTTTTGTTACACTTCCACTAGTGTTTTAAAATTCGTTTTTTCTAGAGAATTCAACTCAATATATTTTTATTATTTATTTCAATCGATGGTTAGTACTTAGTATAAAAAAAAAAGGTTTTATATTAACACGTTATCAGATAATATATTATCACGTTGTTCAATAAATTCTACATACAATATAAAAATATATTAACGCTTAAAAATAACATTAATAGATTTTTTAAAAGAAATGTAATATTTCTTATCAAATTCTCTAATATTAAGAAAATACAGAATACTATATTAAATAAAAAGTATGTTTAAACCACTCATTAGGAAGGAGACCCTTTTATTTTATTTTTTACAAAATTAATTTGTAGCTGTCTTTTTATCTGTAAAACATAACAAAATAACGTGTCTAATTGGCTATGGTGGTCATCGAAATCAGGCTGCGGCAAGAGTTACTTTCCCTTCCCCTCCCATTGTAGCGGGCTGCATTTGTGACATGACATGGACAGACGGAAAATATGTTCAGCTTTACAATTCTCTATCTTTCTTTTCATTTAAGAAATTAATGTTGAGCATTTGAACATTTTTTCCGATATCCTTTTCGTCCTAAATACTAAAACGGCAGCATATAATATCCTTAAAATTTTATTCTCGTTATTAATTATTTTTGCAAGCCGATAACTATTTTTTACATTTGAGAATGAGACTAACAACATGCTCCGACACTTTAAAAAATTTGATGTATCATATTCGACAGTTTTCGATATTCCGACACTCCCCGACACTTCAACACGTGTTGCACAGATTCAAAAAAATGGTTCAAAAGTTGCGTTGCGTTGCGTTTTTAGTTCCAACTATTAGATTTGTTGGATTTTGATTGTCATTTTATTGATTTTAATATAACTATTTGGAATATCTTATATTTCTTTGCAAATTGATGAGTATTATAAGTTTAGCTTCTTTTTTTATTAAATTATTAAATATTAAATATAATATAACTACATAAGTTAAAAAATTTATTTAATATCAAAACGTGTCCTAACGTATTTGAAATTTAACATTTTTTAAAATTAACGTGTTCAAAATATCATGTCGTGTAATATCTCGTGTTATGTGTCAGTGTCCGTGCAAGAGCTTATAATATGCTCTTAGAGAATTTTGTTATCCACTTATACAAAAAAGAAGAAGAGAATTCCTGCACCTCATAAGATCCCCAACATAGAGATGAATAAAATTAGTGATAACTAATTAAAATGTGGGTACTAAAAACCAAATCTAAATCAATGAAAAATAATAATCTAAATAGCTACCCAAAAAATAAAAAATAAAAAATAACAACAACAAACGTAAGAAATCAACTAAAAAGCAAAATTACGTTAGTCCAATTAAATCATGTATTATCCTCAAACTAGGATACCCAGTCTCCTAATTGCATAAATTTACTATGACACAACTATATATATTATGTAAAAAAGGAATATATAACCATGATTTACGCATTTTATTCAGAGTACATAATATACAGTCTTGACTAGTTATGTTGAAGTTGATTATTATCCTTATTATTCTGGCTTTGGAAATAGTTTTCTTTCCGTCCCCATTTGTCATGTGAAATTTCACTGAAGTTAGGGACTTAGGGTCAAAATCTTGAATTCAATTAAATTCAGAGTAGAAGTGCAATCAGAAAATGAGACGGAAACTACAAGAGAATTGACGAGAAGCACAACTGCAACATCAACTCAATAAATTAATATCATCTGTTAGTTAATTTGTAATTCATCAAACAAAATTTTTTTTTTTTGAAAAAAAAAAACACCGAGTCGGGCACGATAGAAACATCCTTACTAGTATTTATAAATTAAATTCATGAGTCTAATTCATCAAACAGCTAATATGCACATATTATATAAAACAAGTGGAAGAGTGAAGACCATATAAATTTCCTGAACATTTGTCGCAATCATTCACATGCAATCGAGAAGAGAGAGAAAGAATGAAACACAAATTTAGCATGGTTCACGTACGGCTAGTCGGCTACATTCGTTAGTCACTTTATTATAAGGAAAAATTAATAAGCTAAAAAAACTAGCCCAAACCCAAATTATAAACATAATCAAAGAATGAAAATGACGCAATGCGAGCTGTTTTCAAGCTAGAGTTAGATCTGTATTCTTTTAGGGTGTTGTATCTGAAAATATTTTTGGTGTTTCGTTGTACCAAGTAATTGGTATATTTTTTTACGAATTATAATAAAAAATAATATTTTTATATTACTATTGATTTTATGTTTATTTTCATTTAGGGATGTACCTAAGAAGGAGGTAATATGGGCAGCTGTGCTTCCTTAAATTTATATTTTATTTTCGCCTCGTATTATAAGAAATTTTGGATCTGCTGTTGTTTTCACCTCTATATATATATATATAAAAGATTCGTTTTTTCTACCGTCAATATAAATAAAGTATCTACATTAAATCAGGAATGATGTCGTTTTGAGGCGAAAATCAATATATTTTTGTAATTATAATTTATTTCAGGGTTATAATAGTCTTATTCATTATATTTTTTTAATTTTTCAACCCAAAACGACATCGTTTTGGAAGCGAAAGTAAATAACTTCTCTATATTCACGGTAGAAATATTAAAGCCATATTTTTTTGTCCACTCTCTCTCCTCCTTTATCTATCTCTTTCTCTCACTTAAAATGACACAACTTTACATCTTTTATAATGATACACACTTTTCCCAAGCCATATATATATAGGATAAAATATTTCTCCATTCAATGGAAATAAGTTATCTTTCGTGAGCACAAAACGACGTCGTTTTGTGAAAAAATTAAGTATTTTTGTAATTCTAATTTATTGCAGGATTATATTAGTCTTTAGTGTTATAATTTTTTAATCCTACAATCCCAAAATAACGTTGTTTTGGGCTCTTTAAGATAACTTTATCTCCGGTGACTGGAGAAATATTTTTTTCACACACACACACACACACATATATATATATATGAGCCAGAATATTTTTACACCGGTGTAAGAGTTAGATGTCTTACCCTCAATCTTGATTATTGATCCACTTGTATCCAATAACTCATATTATTAAAAAATTTGAGCACTTAGATATAAATGAAATTAACGGACAAGATTAAGAGTGTAACTCCTGACCCTATATATATATATATATATATATTTGGCAAGGGAATATGTACTTTCAATGTGTCGAAAATAAGCTCGTAGTATCTAGGTGTTTAAGGATATACTGGTATAAACTAAAAACTCCAGGAGTCACATCTCACGTAAGGTTGAGAATGGGAAATATATATGAACACGGTCACTACAAAAATTCAAGCATTTTGTGGGGGTCATATTTTCATATTATGGAGGTCTTTGACCCCCACAAAATACATTTGTGGCATTCACCCAAACCCCCAGTTCTGCCTTCGCCACAACATAGTTTGTGGGGGGTTTTTGTGCAGGGCCACAATTTGTTGAAGTATTTTCTGGAGGTTCGAGACCCCCACAAATATTACACTTTTTGGAGATTTAAGACCCCCACAAATGTTGTATTATTTGTGGGGATTTAGTAACCTCCACAATATATTTGACTTTCTGTCACTCATAGACCTCCACAACATTTATCACTTCCTGGAGGACATAGACCTCCACAATTTGTTTATTATATTTAAAAAAAAATAAAAAATGAGCTACGAGAAATGATTTTATTTGAATAATAAAAGACAACCTTCTCAAGTATAAATTTATTTATTATTTGAAAAAAATTCAAGCCACACTTAAAATTTACTTATCCCAAAATGAATCTCATCAACAATAATTTATTTCGAAAACCAAACAAATTATCCAAACAAATTATCCATACAGGCAACAACCATTAGCAGTTTCAGCAGCAATGTGACCGGAACAAGTGATCACACAGAACGTAACTCCAAGGCCAAGAAAGGTGTAAATGAACCTGATTGCAAAAAAATAAAAAAATAAGCAATTCGTTCACAATCTAACCATACAGATCAGAAGAACTTGATAATTTTACAAAAAAGGAGCATACATGCAGGAAATACTGAGTCGTGAGAACAAACAACGATTTTGTTCAAACATAGAAAGCATACAAATTTTAGGTGCCAATGCAGTATAACTCTCAAAATGAAGATATCCTAAACCAGCACCCCTGCTCAAACAATCCAGCTTATACATAACTCCATTAAAATAACCGGTTCTCTTAATTCAATCAATAGCTTGGAAGTGAATAGAATGCAAATTAGGAATTCAATAGCTTTATCATGTCAAACATAAATTCCCAATAAACAATTCTCTTTTACGCTATTAATTCCTTTGGTTTCTAAAATATGATCTTTCATTAAACAAATTAATAACAAAAGCAATAAAAATCTATTAATCTCAGAAAATCAAATCAAATTTTATTTATTTATTTATTTTAATTTTTTCTCTTCTACTTAACAACTTTCGCATCCAGGATCTTCACATCTTATTTTCACGGGTAAATCAAAGTCCAAAATTTTCTCATCCATCGCACAAGGGTAAAAAAGGGGCTAGGAAACAAAAAAAAAGAAAAAAACGAGGAGATACTTATAAATATTCTGCTAATACTCGAGATAGTTCCCAAATACAGATGTATCAATTGAAAATCAATTGAAAAGGGAAGAGCATGTTGACCAATCTATATTCTCAGTGCTAATTTCCTTTATCTATCATATAAAGAGGTCAACTATAGATCTTTTTCAATAAAGAGGTCATTTATACATGTTTTTTGAAGTAAAGTTATATACTTTAATCAAGTATCAACAAGAGATGTTTGTGCTCATGCCTGTCCTTTCGTAAAAAGACCAGATGGAGGCTAAATGAGGTTGACATTCAAGATCATAGCAGCCATGTAATCACGAGAGAATCGATGGCAACAATAGTTTTATTTTTTTATAGAACTAGGGACCCCCCCCCCTCCAAAACCAAAAAAATGAGCATCTTCTTTTCCTTTCAACAATGAGGAAAGCACCTTCTCCAACAAACAATTGAGAACAAACTCGATCTCTAATTGTCATAAGCATCTCACCTCACCTTCTCCAACAAAAAATGAGCATGTTCTTTTGTTTTTGTTTTTACTTTTATACATTGCCGGGAAAAATAATTATAGAACTAAATGTACAAAACTCAGCAGAAGCAAAAAACTATAGGGTCAATTAACACAATACTTGTAATTGGTAATTGTTTCATACTCAATCAAGTTAACTTAAGAGCTATAGATTACATCAGTTCCTAGTTCCTAACATTGAAGAGGAATAGAATGCAAAGAAATTACCATGTGCTCCAAAACCATATCCAGGCCTCGATCTGGTAGTAATGGAGGGATCACCGGCTGGCCTGCCTTGAAGAAAAGCATAGGTGACTTCACAGGGTCAAATTTTGAAGGGGCCCACCACCTATTTATATGAACCATAAATAATCAAATAAATTAAATTAAAATTATCTCAAAAATTAAATCAGAATGGGCTAAACTTACCCATCATGGTAAGGAAGGATGTTCATCTGTCAAATTGACCCATGAATATAACAATCCAAACTGAACCAATTAAATGGACAAGGCATGGAATACCTGAATGGAATTGGTCATGATGTATCTGTCTGCCAATAGAGATATATGTCCCTCGTAGGTAATGCAGAGTCCAAAAAGAATCAAATACTATTAATAAAAAAAGGAATCCAACATAGGGGAGGTTAATATGGAATTTGGCTGGAGTAGTTGAGGAATTTGGTAAATAGTTGCAGACCTAATTTATATAAGTTAAATTTTGGTGTTAGAATAAAACCAAAGAGGAAGAGCAGCCACCCTCCTTTAACCTTATGACCATAATTTTGATGCTATTGATACTGAAAAGGCCTGTTAATAATTTATAATCAATAAAGTGAGGGCTTTAATAGATGCATATTGTAAAACAGAATCCACTTATTAATTATGTGAACAAATGATTGTAAAACAATCAGTTTTATGGACAAGCTCGTTGTTCACATCACTAAGAACTTCATGTCCCTGCCCAACATCAAGGCATGTAATTAGTTATACGATTCCCACACATACTATCCTAAGACTTTTATAAAATAGGGAAACACATTTAACATGTTTCATTATTTTTACAGGTTCCTCGCATCCGTGGTATCTGGGGAGGCAAAGGTCAAGGAAAATCTTTCCAATGCGAACTTGTTTTTGCTAAGATGGGAATGAAGTGAGTTATTGCTAAACTAATACTAACCCCTACTAAAATACCTATACTACCACAGAATGCATCAGTTATATTTATTAGCAATCAATTCATGATTGAAATTGAAAGTCTCTTTTATGCATTAGAACTTAGTACCTAGCAGTTAGCACTCAACAATTGATGTATGTGTCCCCATGATGTTGTAATTACAGCCCAATCATGATGAGTGTTGGAGAGGTGGAAAGTGGAAATGCAGGAGAGCCAACAAAATTGATCAGACATTACAGCAGCAAAGCAATATCAAAATAAAAGACACCTACCAAGATTTTCTACCGTAAGCCCTATTTTCCCCTACCTTCAAAAGTTCCAAAAGCTCAAAACTAAGAAAGAAAACAAGCATAATACAGATGCGTAGAAGAAAAAGAACAAGAATGAAAGGGGATAGGAACTTGCACCTGCTTGCTTGGGGAGTGTACGCTAACCTCCATGGCCATGCTTCTTAATGTACTCAACCAATGCTTCATCTTCTTCAGGAGTCCAAGCTGCCCTCCTCACTCCATGTTTATCAAAACATGGTGCTTTCCCCATCTGCACTACCACCTCATTACCACAATAATAATAATGTCACTACAATAATAATAATAATAATAATAATAATAATAATAATAATAATAATAATAACAAACCTTTCATACAACCCATCATCATAGGTAAGAAAGAGTGTTGCAGAAGAATGCAGCATTTGCATCAAAGTCAGAAGTTAAAGTATTGGATCAGAGCAACAATCTACGAGTCATGACCAAATAAAACAGAGAACATATTATTGATTAAAGTTTCATAAAAATTGAAGAAAATACCCAAAATCAAGTCACGTTCACAAGCAAAAAAAACACATAGGGGAAGGCACAGCTAAAATTACCAGTTCTATATCAATTCTTAATTCAATCTCATACAACATCTGAGATTCAACACGCCTCGTAGCCTTCCACAAATTATTCCAGATAATGAAGAAGAACAAATTATAAAAGAGAATCCATGAGAAGATATATAGAAGGAACCTTGAACTTCATCTGATGGTAACGAGCGACTGCAGAGAACGATACGCTTCGTGATCTGATCTCATCATCCTCCGATGAATCACCGTCTTTGTTTGTGAGTGAGGAAGAGGAAGACTTATTGGAAGTGCTGGAAACAGAGCTCTCTCTGAAACTCTAACTACTGCTTCTCTCTAGAACCTGATCGTTGGAATCGGAATTGAACCTTCAAAGCAACAAATTCGCAAAAACAAAGAAAAGATCAAAACGAAGATAACAGAGGCAAGAATGAACGAGAGAGTGTGTGAGCTTGTTAAGGTTACTTTGGAGTAGAAAGCGAGGGAGGAGGAGGCATCGTGTGAAGAAGCAGAGAGGATGTAACCATTCGTTCTTTGAAACTTGGGAATTTTATTATCCGTTAAAAAAAGTTATAATGGAAAAAAATTTAAAAACTTTGAGAATACAAATAGTGTGGAGGTCAGAACGTGCTAGAAAATTATAAAAACTTTAAAAAGATGGAAATAAAATGTGGCGTCCTCTGAAAATGCCACTATATACATAATTGTTGGGGGTTTTATAAACCTCCACAAAATAACCTCCACGAATAACATATTTTTTTGTAGTGGGTGACTCTAAAACTTGTCAAAAATAACTAAAGAAAATAATGGATGCAGACTGCGTGGAAAAGTGGGATATATGTAGATTGGGAAATCTTTGCTATTGATGAGTGAGAGTAGCCATAATCGTTTGTCCAACACCACATCATCATTAGATTTATTGTAGTAATTAAATTGTGCATGGGATGAAGAATCATCTGAGATGAAATGAGGTCCATTTCTTCGCAATAGAGAGATAGTGATGTGATTCTTTAATGGACTTTTGCATACTAACCCTATATTTGGATTGTGAAAGGCAAGCCTATCCAGAAAACAATGCGTTTACGGTTTTACCAGCAGAACACGCACGCGTCGGAGGGATATATATATATATTATCAAGTTGGGTTTGTATATGTAATTCTGCATGGTGTGAACGCAAGAAAGTGTTTATTTTACGCGACGACTTTTGGTCCTGCACCGATTACAACCTTCATTGACTTTTGCAACCTTTTGCCGTAAAAGTAGGTTTCTAGAAGTATACGTCGCTGGATGGCCTTATAACCACATGTTATTTGCTGCGCGCAATGGTACAAGCAATTCCTTAGCAAATTTGTCAAATGAAAAGATTTTTTTTTGAAGTAAAAAAACAAAAACAAAAAAAAAGTGAAAAAGAAGAATCTTTTAAACGATACAAGTTTGTATCTTTTTAGGTAATTTACACGAAATATGACCGGTCATATTTTATGTAAATTTGAAAATTTAGTTTTTTTTTCTCTCTCCCTAATCACATCACTTTTTTATTTATTTAACATCCCCCAATCACATCACTGATGTGTAAAATAAAAAAAATAATTTTTCATATTTACACAAAATATATTCGGTCATACTTTACTTTGAGTATGTCACTAAAAAACATAACTTTGTACTTTTAAATGACACCTACTACACTCATAAAAAAAAAATACATAAATGGATGTTGTACTATTCTCATTGACGTTCCAGCTAGCGTCTTTATAGCCATAAAATTTTGGGGTAATTATAATTATTTTCTTTAAGTTTTCTATTGTTGTAATGTACCAACACTCTTTTTTTTTTTCCAAATTATTCTTCCTCTCTTTGTTTTATATTATGCACACAAGGAGATTTTTGTATTTGGCATCTACATAAAATAGAGGATACATATGTAATTTTATAAATAAATAAAAATTTTATAGTGTAAAAATATATAATGTATAAATTAAGATAAGAATCATTTTTTAAAATACAAAAGATATATTAACTGTAATAAATAATAATTACATTTAAAATTTTCAAAGAGAAAAATGAACTCAATCAATTCCTGACATATATAGCAGTGAAGTAAACAGTAAACGAAAAAAAATGGGCCAGTAATTTCATAATTATAGAAAATGAATTATTGTTTTTATCTTATATATAGTATTTTTGGATAAAATATAGATATATTACAGATTAATTAAAATTTGGTAAACTCGCCAATTGATTAGGATTAACAGAGTGATGGGAGACTCCGCACTTGTTTGATTGTATTTTTTTTAATTGTTTTATAGAATAATTAAAAAAATATGTATTTTTTGTATTTTTTATAATTGAGATATATTTTTTATATTTGATTTTAAAATTTAAAAAATAGTTATATTTTTTAGAATTATTCTTACAAAACAAACCTTATCAAATAATTTATTTTTAAATCAAAAATTATTTTTGAAAACAGGATTTAAACATGCCACTTTTTTCTTGTGTTGTGTACAAAATTTATGTACAAAAAAAAGTCACTTTAACCAATGGTAGTGCATGTTACAGCTCTAACTGATACCGAATACACATAAAAAATAATAAACAGAAAGTTAGGATTTGATAAAAGAGTAATTCTTTGGTTCTCAATTTTTATTAACAAAATTCAACTTTTAGAATAAGGGTATTAAGCACCTTTTTACAGACTAATTATAAATTGATTCAAAATTTTAAATATAAAATCCTAAAAATTAGAAAACTTTCTACAATAAATATAACAGTAATTAACTTCTACAAATAAATAAATAATTACAATTAAATCATTCAAAACACGTCCCAAATCTTATATCTCAAATCATGCCAAATGTGTTGCTTCTCTTTTCTTGCCAAACAAATCACAATCATATTTGTTGCTTTATTTGGTCTTGATTTTATCATAATTTGTTATATTTTAAATTACTGTTTCTTTCAACAATTGGGCCATGCTTATTAGGCCATAATTCTGGTTAACTATGAGTTTTTTGAACCATGCTTATTAGGTCATAATTCTTGCCAAACAAACCACAATCATATTTGTTGCTTTATTTGGTCTTGATTTTATCGTAATTTGTTATATTTTAAATTATTGTTTCTTTCAACAATTGGGCCATGCTTATTGGGTCATAATTCTGGTTAACTAAGTTTTTTGAATCAATGGTTGGGCCATGTGCAATAGGTCTGTTGTAAATGCATCATTCTCCACTACTAGGAAAAAATTCGTCCTCGAATATTCTTCATCTTCAATGATATCAATCTCTTTAGGTAAAAACTCAATGGATAATTCTTTCTATATTAGATCTCCATCATCGAATTCTTGATCAGATTTGTTATAGACTGAATTTTCATCATAAGATGGATAATAATCATAAATGGGATAATCTTCGTAAATCGGATAATCATCATAAACTATGTTATGATCATAGACATCAAAGTCAAGAATATTGATTTGCATCTCAATATCTTAAAAAATGGACTAATTTTTAGGTCGTACTTCCCAATTTTGTCCCTGGTTTAGAATCCCGAGAGATTGATGTCCTCCCTTCGTCATTAGTTGCGTCCTCTAATTCATTCCTTCTTCGGATTGAATGCCCAACTTTGTCCACTCCAGTCGCCGCTCCAAATGTTGAATTTTCATGCTTTGCGCCTTCACAAGAGTTTGCTTCAAAATTTGAATATTTTTGATATGCGCACGCACGAGTCGTCGCTCCAAATCTTGAATTCTCCTCTCTGCGCCTGAACAAGTAGTCACTCCAAAACTTGGATTTTCTTGTCCAACGCTTGCTCAGGTTATTGCTTCAAATCCTGGATCCGCCTTCTGAGTTTTTCATTTTTTATGTCTCGTGGGTCAATCTGACGTGGTTGTCTATCTTCTTCAAGAACGAATTCACGTTCCCTACCCTTATGATTTCGCATTCGTTGACCTTCACGATTCTATTCAGCTATTGGTTGAAGGCAACCTACTGCTCTAATACCAAATGATGCCGAAAGCGCATAAAAAAGATGACTAAATAGAAAGTTAAGATTCGATAGAAGAGTAATTCGGGTTCTCAATTTCTATTAACAAAATAATAAAATTTAACTCCTAAAATAAGGGTCTTAAGCACCCTTTTATAGACTACTTACAAATTGATCCAAAATTTAAAATTTAAAATCATAAATGTTATATCTCAAATTATGCCAAATGTGTTTTTTTTTTTTCTTACCAAACAAATCACAATCATATCTATTGTTTCATTTGGGTTTGGATTTGATCATAATTTGTTATATTTCAAATTACTGCTTCTTTGAACATTTGGTTCATACTTATTGAGCCACAATTCTGGTTGACTACGACCTTTTTAAATCAATGATTGAGCAATATGTAATGGATCAACTGTAAGTGTATGA